TACTGCACGCTGTGCATAGATCTTGCCTTATTTTGATGTTTAAGACAAACTGAATTGATGCCCATTACTGCTGTACTTGCTGGCTTTGGAGCTTGCCATGAACTTGTATGCTCCTCATTTCAGATTCAAGTTTTGAAAGTACTCGTGAACTTATCTGCAAACCCAGCCATGACAAGACATCTTCTCAGAGCTCAAGTAAGGTCCTTGCTGTTCATTACCTTTTTAGCATTTACACGTGTGTGTGTGTAGATCGGTGCATGCATTAGAAGAATTTTAATGTATTAGAAGTATCTATGCAACTCCAGAGTAAAAATCTAAGCAGTACCTGGTTAAAAGTAGCAGCTAGAAGTGTACAGGCGTTCTTCCAGAGTGTAGATACTGTACTTGCAGAGGGAGAGTCACAGGGCCTGTGCACATGAGGACAGTTGGTCATACTTCCTGTGTACCATTTCACAAAATCAGTGACGCTTGCAGAAGCCTGTCCTCACCTTCCCTTTCCACCAAACGGGTGGTACCATGGACTTCTGTATGTAATACATATAAGGTACCCTGAGAAGTTTCAAATCAACCCCAGAACCTCATTTCCAGACGTGCAGTCATATATAGATTGAAGAGCGGGTACAAACATCAAACACAACCAGTACGGTAAATGATCCTTCTCACCAGCCACTTCTATAGCTAACATACTGTACCTCAGACAACCAAATTCCACTGAAAGCCCCACCCTTTTCCTCAAACACAGCCACGAAACTGTTGTCTCTAAGCACTCTAAGTGAACTTTCCCTGTGCATTTACTTACGTCTTTGTGGAGAACTTTATCTGACATTTGCTATTGCTGGCTTTGATATAGAGGTTTATTTCAGCTACATCCTTCCCTCACACCAAAACTGTCAGGGACTGGAATGGTGCTGCATCCTCCTCCCCTCCCCCCAAAGTTAGTTTTTTTTAAAACATGCAGTGCCTTTTGTTTGAGCTATCTGCCATGAGCAAAGCTAGTCTAGATACTACTGGCTTTTCGTTATTAAAACAAGATTAGGGGAGCTAAATATTGAGTTCTCTGTTAAAAGTGTATCCTTTGCTCGTTTATCAGATGTGCTAACATAAAAACATTCAGATCACTGCAGAGGGCAAAAGCAACACTACTGAGAAGGAAAGCAGACCCTCTCTTCCAAATGGGAATTTTCCAGACAGCCACATTTTGGAGATTTAAAGTACAAAGCATTTATTAGCATGTGATGGACAAGCCAGTCTTTTCTAAAGAGGAAATGTGCATGCTGTGCCAAGTTTCTGGCATGCTTTCACAGCACATGCAGTTCTGATACTTCATAGGGTTTCTGTTTCAGGTGGTTTAGGTATAGATTTTTTTTTCCATTTTTTTTTTTTTTAAGTTAGGTTTAGTTACTGGTACTTACTGCTGGTGATTAAGTATGGATTATTTTTTGAATACCCTAGGTGCCGTCATTGCTGTTACTTTTTGACACCTGTATAAACAGAGAGATTCTGCTGAGAGCCCTGGCGTTTGCAGCAAACTTGAAAAAGAATGCGAACAATGAAGATGGCACCATGGTTCAGGACCAATACAGTGAAAATTCCGTTTTCTTTATGCTCTGCAGGGAGTCTACCCCATTTGCTCAGAAACTGGCATCTTTATTGCATCACCCCGATACAGAAGTGAAAGAGCAAGTTGTGAGAATATTAACACAATAGTGATTTTTTTTTAAAAAAAAAAACAACTGACCTGATGAAAATGTCTGAAGAATGCTATGCTAAAAAACCCCAACAAACAAAAAAAACCCAAATAATTACTGAATGCTACCACATTACTAGGCACAAATCAGTTACTCTAAAAGAGAATGCAATATATTTAATATAGAGAGCATAACAAATTTCTTTTACGAGCGAGATAAAAGCAATAGCTTAACTGGTACTGAGAACCCCCCGTACAGCTGGTACATGTACACAAAGGGGGAGGAATAGTTTAAAACATGAAAACTTTCACATGTACAGTGAATATTTTAAATGGATGAGTAAAGTCAATCGAAATATTCTTCTCAATGTCAAAGAGTTTTTCTTGCCTTCAATATTTACAGCTGTCGAATAAATACCTCTACAGAATGGTGCATTAAAGATTTAGGAATTGGAGATTAGGCATATACATTTTATTAATCTGGTATCTACTAAATGGATGCAGACAAATCTTAGAAAATATTAAATAAAAACAATACCAAACTATCACTGTCTTCCTATGAAAGGAAGTATTTTCAGTGAAAGCTGCATATTAAAGTTACCCAGCCTCTGTTTTTTCATCTTACCTGCACAGAATATATTCTAAAACTACACTCTCATCTGCTTAGTACATCCAGTCCATTTACCCAAAGTGCAGTGCAGTTAACTACAACTGTGCAAGGTTTCCACGCTTGAAAAAAAAAAAAATCAAAAGGATTTTGTCTTGCTTTAAAATTGTCACTTTAAGGAAAGCATATGTATTTTTTAAAACATTTTATTATGAGTCAATTGAATTGCAACTGCAATTCAACATTCTCATCTTTATAAAAAAGCCTGCAAGAGCACTATCGTACCCATTTTTACAAAAGCTTCCTGTTCTGTAGCAGCCCTCGAGCCCGCTTCCCTTGGAGAGCTTTACTCCTTTTTCTCTGCAGCTGGAACATCATCAGAGTAACTGTCTCTGTTGAGTTAGCCCCCATAAAGTTTTAGTCATCAATGCAGCGTTAATTCAAAATGAAATGGAATAAACATCATTGTAAAAGAACCTGAAAGAAGTTTCATTGATGAACATAAAATGTAGTAGAAAACACTTTATACTAAAATGAGACTACTAAAACTTCCTGATCACAGAGAAAATAAAAAGTGCCAGGTGTAAAGGCTAGAAAACAAGTTTTCCACCTTTTACCATTTTTAAGAGGGCCGTATTACCTAAACTGTTACCAGATGCTTCATCTTTCTAATTTAATATACCCACTCTGCTCTTAATGAACCATTACTCTCGTCTCTGTAATTCAATAGGCATTTTATTTATTTTCAGTAGGCAACTTTGCAAACTGCAAGAAAAACATGACCTTGAAAATACAATATGTCTATGTCCTGATCCATACAGGGGTAAAGCTACATGTATCGAATTTATCTACATAGGTAGCTTTAACTCCTCAGGAATACAGTTAAGGCAGAAATAGAGGTTGGCATGATTCCCAGTCAGAACCCTGACAGTCACTGCACTGACAGTGAACTTCCCTTTCTCCTTCCCGCTGCTCCAAAACCGCTGTTCATTTTGTAATAAGCAAATTACATTACAATCACTTAATGTTTTGGCACTTTTTGCATATGGATTTTTTTTTCTGCTTCTGTATATAACAAAGAAAAATACTAGGTCAGACACTAAGAATTTACCAATCCCACCTCTCCCTTCTGACATAGGAACTTAGGACTAGTCTGTTCTAGGTATATCCGAGATAACATATATATATGTTTTCTTAAGATCAGCAATAGGGATGTCCCTCTCCATGTTCTTCAATCTAAAAATAAGTTTTTCAAACATGACCTTTTTGATAATTAAAGTTGATACCCTTTGCTTTGATAGCCAACAGAAACAAGTGACCATTGTCCTATTTTCTAAAAATACTTGAAAACTTGTTATAGTGTTGTCTCGGTCTTCTTTTTCTGGTCTAGAAAGAGCTATTTTAGAATGTTTTCTTCATAGAACAATGCTATTGAGATGTTTTGAAATCAGGCAAGGCTCTCTGAAGTATCTTCACACAAGCATGTCTAATTTTTTTATTGCCCACCCCCCACCCTAGATGGAATCCTAGCAGCACCAAAGCACCAGCAAAGCATAATGGTCACTATTCTACATAAATGCTGTGAATTAATAGATCCAAATCAAAACGTGTGCCATTACTGACATGTAGTCTCTGATCCTTGTGAGTCAGCACTTCTCAGCCGTGTGCCTGCTTATCTCAGTGTTCTGTACTTTAGTTTCATTCTTTCTTTCTGAAGTACAGGATTTTACTGAAAAGTCTACTGATGATTTTGAAAGCTGGAAAAAAAACCAAACACAAACAAACAAAAAACCAATTTTAACCATGTCCTTCAAAGTACTCAAAACATCACGCAGCTTGGTGTCCTGCACAGTATTATGAACATGACACGCGTTATATTATCCAAATTGTTACTGAAGCTATTATGTAAATACGAGGCCCAGCAGACTTCATCTGAAATACCCTTCCCAAACCACCACTGAGTGACTGAGTGTAGTTTTAAGCCAGTTTTGAACACATTCTGGTGAATACATCTGGACCATACTAGAATTACCTTTTCAAATAAAGAAATCTTGATGTTTGTCAAATATGAATCCCACTAAAGGAATACAAGCTATTTTTTCATACATAGAAGCGTAATCCTCTGTTCCAGAACCCTTCCGCAGCATGAGCTTGGACTAACTCCTCTTTGCTCCCTTGTGTTGTTCTTTGTTGGTATTAAGATCTTTAAGACTTCTAGGACTTCCCAATATAAATTTTTAAAAGATAACTGTCAACAGTTAAAATATTACTTCAGTTTGCTCCTAGCATGAAATCTCATTAACTGGTTTTAATTAGTTGCCAGAAGTTCATGTCTTTAAATTGCAGGGAAATAATGTGTCTTTTATTTATCTTGACGGACTATGAACAAAATGTAATGCACAGCAAGAGCAAAAAAATACATGTATCCCATAGACCAAAACAAATCACCAACAAAAAAAAATCAATTTTCCAATGAATTATGAAAGGAGAGTAACAACCATTTTATTGGCAACAATAGGCTTTAATTCTGTAAATTAGCATGGCAACTTGATACAGATACATTTAGCCAAGTTTTACAATACTGAACAATGTTGTCATCTCTCATTCAACTTCAAAATTATACGGAAGCTATAAGAAAAAATGCCACAGCCCTTGCTTAAGACTTTTCACTTAAAAAAAAAAGAAAGTACTTAATCATAGGCCGAGGCAATGCAAAGACAAGCGCCATTAAGGGATTCTTCGACTTCATGTACTGCATTTGACAAGAAACTTATTTTAGACACATTCAGGCCTAACTTAAAAATATTGACAAAACAATGACAGTGTGCAGATACTCTGGCCAGCAGTTAAGTTTTACGCATCAATGATGCAATATTAAATTATATCTCTCTTTAAAAGGCACATTTCTTTAGATCATTGTAAAATTCAGCTTTTGTGGTTTGTCAGTATATGCAAATGTAGAAGCAATCAGTAAAATAATTATTTTACTGTGCTTGTGCTTTAACAACACGGCTGTATTGGAAGACTCCACCCCACAACCATACAGTGAAGCTATCACGGTACAGGGCATAACCTGAAGATTAATGACTGACAAGCGGGAGATGACATTCTAACAATGACTAATTCAAGTCAGCCATTAATTCTAAGCGTATGTCCTGTGCTGAGGTTATTATTGCTGTTGCAGGTAAGATGAAGTGTTTTTAAAGAAAACAAACAAACAAACAAACACACCCCCCCCAAAAAACCCAACCTAAAACCCCACAGTAATTTATCAGTGGTGTACATAAGAGTTGAAACTGCAAATTATTCCTGGACAATACCTTATATATTAACCAGTTTTTAGATGACCTCTTAAAATTTATAAACAATATAACTACTAAATTTATCATGAAAGCGGTATGCAAGGTTTAGTTCTGAAACTGACAAACCTGGCATCTAAAAATCCAATTCACTCCAAAAAATCTACTTTGTAAGTACATCATGTTAATATATGTAACATTAATTGCTAGTTCAAATCAAACGAGGCTTAGAAGGAACTGCTACTGCTTCATTATTCAAATCCATCATTTGTACTCAAGTCCCGTGATTCTCCATGGTTTAAGATAAAGAAGTCGTCTTTTTTCAAGCCGTATCTTTCAAGAGCTTCATTCAGTTTAACTGGAGGATCCAAGTAATACTGGAAAAATAAGAATAATATGAGGGAAAAGACACCACTGCAGCACTTGGGAGGAAAAAAAAAAGAATATTGCTGCTCTAAACAAGAAATGGTTTACTTTTTAAACATCATCTAAAAGCAGGGGCGAGGGGGTGGTATATTTGTCAAATTAAAATGTTTGATTTCATTTTCAGTTTTTAAATGATCAGAATGCCAATTTACAGTTGTAGAGTAACTAGGAAGGCACAACCTATCATCCCAAAGTCAGCCTTCTTAAGTGTACTGCACTAGATCTCCCAGAAGCAGGAACAGGGGATTCCTTATAGCTCGCAGGGAGCAGGAAGGGCTGGTTGGCAGGTCAGCAGATGCCGCTTTCTCTCGTTTAGTAAAACAAAGTTGTTAGCTTTACAGTTTAAAAAACAGTGCCATTTCAATGAGGTTCCCCTGAAGTTACTTTGTTCTATTTGTTACATTTCAGAAAAGGCATCATCAGGGAGAAATCCATTTTTTTCTGCTTCTAAATACACAATAGCACTTGCACCGTGGGCACTAGTGACACAGCTTATTAGAAGCATCATGGATAGAAAAGGTTACATCCAAGTTAAAGAAAACATGATGTGTCAGGTGAACATAGCTAACGGCATCAGGGCTGAGCTATAAGATAAAGTGGTGCAACTGGTGCAAAGATAAAATTGAAAAAAAGCTACCAGACACGGTGTATCAGAGTAGGTGTAGATAATTCCCTTTCGCTGCATTTTTAGTCACTGTTAAGGTACCTGGGCAACATCCTTATTAGAACTTGGGGGTGGGGGGAGGAGGAGGAATGAAAAAATAAAAAAATCAACAACTCAGCATAACTCATTTTTTCATATGCTTGCTGGTATTTATGAATCAATTATCAAAAATACTATTCAATTTATTTACTAGACAGATTAATAAATACTGTACTGACCTAGAAGCACGCAATTCTTACTGTCTCCAAGTGATGCACCCCTGAGTTTACTTTTATTATTGCATACGTGTCCCCATCTTCCATGTTCCTCAGCTTCTGGATACCAGAAATCCTCCACATTTGTTTCAGTAACTCTGAACTTTCAAATCAATCTTAACCATGGAAATACTTTATGTAATTGGTTACGAAAAGCAAAGCATTGTTTTTAACGGCAGTATATATAGTAACAACTTGTCAGTCATCCAAAGTTTACGTTTTAAGTATACATTTAGAGATATGTAGGTTAAGCTGCAAGAGCAAAGCTGCACTGATGACTGTGTACTCAGGAAATCCAAACTCACGTACGGGGTTGAAATTTACCTCGTTTGCTAAAGCAAAGGTCCCCCAGTGAATTGCTACGGACTTCTTCGCCTGAACATCAATATGGATTCTTACTGCTTCTTCAGGATCCACGTGCTGGTATTTCATAAACCACCTACCAAAACACATAGATTTTTTTTGTGTCACCTAATTCAGTGCAAGATTTCTTCTTTATTTTCATTGGGTAAGTTGCAAAGAATCTTAAAAAAAAAAACAACACCCTCACCTAATCAAAAAAATTATGGAGTATGTACGTCTGAACAACATACAGAACACTCAAAATCAACAAGCTGGAATATACTGATACACCCACAAAACAGCAGTTCATGATTTTCACTCCTCTTTTCAAAAGGTTTTTTTTCTCTTATCTATATCTTTAATAGTATAAGGATATATTACTGGTGCCTTGAGGCATTAAGGCTGTAGATTTAAACCCATCCCTGAAAAAATTTCATGCTAGCAGCACACACCAAAAAGCATGTGCTTCAGAAGACAGCCTAAGGGAACGGGTGGTAAAGCAGAAGGGAGAACCTGGCAATTCTTGAAAGATACTGGATTTTTACCATGTTATTCTGATTCCTATCTTCCTTTCCCAGCCTGTACATGCTCTGCTTCCAGCATTATATGAGCTTTAGCATCTAGAAGTTTAGATACCCTGTCATAAGTAGGATACAGATGCTTAAACAACAGATCTTTCACACTCTATAAAGGATTCATCTTTATCTTCAGAGAAGTTGCAAAAACAGCGTAAGGACTGAAGCAAGAGAAAAATGCTGCAAATTGCATGCACCTAAACGGGTTGGATTAAGTGATGCTACTTAAAAGAAAAAGCCACAAAGTAATCCCAGATTTTTACTCAACATTTGTCATGGAAGAAAGTCAGCTGATTCATCCTTGCTGTGCTTAAGACTGAAGAAACACCCCCCAACGCCCCCCCAGGAACACCACACATATGCAGGCAAGTATTCTAGACATTTCAGCTGCATCATCCAATTGCTTTTTTTTTTTTCTGTCATTCAGCCATTTCCTTCTTTTGCCTCTGTATTCTATTGTAAAATCTTAATTTAAGTATACCTAAAGTTTTCACTTCTGGGTGTATTTTTTTTTGTCATCAGTATATAATTTCATTTATGTATTTTGACCAAACTTTGATTTTCATACCTTGGCTCGTAAGCTCCAATGGGGATGGCTGCAAGATCAAAAGGTCCAAACCTTTTACCTATCTGTTCAAAAGCCACACAATATCCAGTATCTCCTGAAAAGAAAAACCTATTCCAAGGTCCCAAAACAGACCAGCTGCCCCAGAGAACCTTGTTATCATCTGTTGCAGTCCTTTTGCACCAATGCTGAGAAGGGGTGAAGACAAAAGTTACCGCATCATGACCAGGGACACAGTTCTCTTCCCACCAATCCAGTTCAATCACGTTCTCACAACCACATCTCTGCATCCAGTCCAAGAGCCCTAGAGGCACAAACCAGCGCAGCTCACTCCCAAAACGTTGATTTAAACTCGTTACAGTGTTGTAGTCCAAATGATCATAATGTGTGTGGCTGATCATGACCGCATCTATTTTGGGGAGCTGCTCTACTGTGCACGGAGGTCCTCGGAAGCGCTTGGGACCCACCAGCTGAGTAGGGGAAGCTCGCTGGCTGAAGATTGGGTCAGTAAGAAATATGAGTTCATCCATTTCCACCATAACGGAGGCATGTCCCAACCACGTGACTCGCATACCAGTTCCTGTCTTCCCAGCAAGTTCCGGCTTCTGAACAAAGTAAGGTTTTAACACTGGAAGCTCTTTATCGAGTTCCTAACAAAAAAGAACACAATATGCATGAGAGATTTCAGAATGTACTTGGCCGTGGAACAAATCTGCATACAAGACACAAATCATTACAGTCAAGACTTGCATTTTGTTTATATTTTCAGGCAACCAGAGAACTGCAACACAAACCCAATGCCTTACTAATGGCCATTTTCCCACCCACTTCTTCCTAATTTCATCTCAGTTTTTTGTAACATTTTCACTTCTCTGACAAGAGAGAAAAGAGAGAGCCCGAGAGTAGCCCATCAGGCCAGGAGACCTACTCGTTGAGAAAGAGTCCAAAAGTGTTGCAATGAAAGCACTGCAAGGGACTAACAATATCCTGGGAAAGGCTTTGCCACTGGTTGGCCTTCCTGTCCTGGAAAAGAATATATACACACACTGTTGCTGTAACAAATGCTCAAGTCTAGCTTGTGCAATTAAAGGATGCATCCCCTAAATCCTACCACAAATAAGTCACAAACCCACAGATGAAAGAGAACGTGACGTTCCCAACGGCGTTCCGCAAAAACTGTGTTCTGTCAGCCTTCAGCAGGCCCTCGCTCTCCATTACCTATAGAAGCAGCACAGGGAGGTTAACCTCACTTGGCTAATGTTAGCTTTTACCATTCTCTTTCCATCCTGCCAATAATTCAATGAACATTGGTAAAACACAAACTAAACCCCAGATCCCATTCTCAAGGTGGTCCTTTAGGCACTTCGCTATGCTTCTTGCAATGTTTTATTGAAGCCTTCTAGGTAATTAAAGTTTAACTATTACTGAATAAATCACTATACTGATCTCCCTGTATGTGCAGGATGTAGTCCCATGAATGACTTAAATCAACCTAAATCCATACTCCGGTGTAACAAAGTTATGGAAACCTTCCCCCACCTGCCCTCTTGTTCCAGCCTTAATGCTTATGCAGTCCCCACTCAAGTCTGACAGGTCAGAGAACTGATCCAGCTGAACATTAATCCAGAGGAGGAAAACATGCAGCTTTCATCTCAATCAGCTTCCAAATTTGACTCTCTGTGCAGCCTCAGGAAGACAGATGGCACAAAGGAGGCCATGGCTGTACATCATCTACTGAAACTCATCATCAAACCACTGCTCATTCTCTCATTTTAAACAGGAGTTACATTCTTCACTGCAGTTTGGTTGAGAAGCTTATGCAGAAGCTTTATTTGTAATAAATAAAGAGTTTTCCTATTAAAAACAAAACAAAACAAAAAAAGTCTTCTTGGGACTTTTGACCGTCTCCGGTTGTGCCACAGTGTGGCTAAGGCTCTCCTCACAAACAGTTCTGGTCTGAACTCCTGACATCACTTTAGAAGAATTTTCCTCTGTTAGGCACCTTCTGCAGACTCCTGACACTCTTCTCTCCCTGGTAATCACAGATGTCCCAGCACCTCTGGTTCCTTGTCAGAGCCTCCCCATCATGGTTGCTGCTCTCATTCTCCAGATCTAGGACAGTAGATTAGTGCTGTCAGGGAGCTGATACAGAGCTAACCTCCTGCTCCCTTAAAAGCCCAGCTGATGCTGTGACACTTTAGGAGTCTAGGATTTCCCTTGCTAAAACAGTCCTGACAGCTTCAGGAAAGTTACCTTCTACACAATATTTTATTGATTTGGAGGGCGTATGTTGGGAAAAAAACACCCCACCCCCCTGCAATCTTACTGTAAGGAATAAAATATTAATGAAACTGCTTTTTTCTGAGAGCTAATGCACAAGATGTGTCTACTGAAAAAGTTTCATTACTGTCTCCAGGAAAGAGAAATAGATAGCCTTCTATAATGCTGGATATAAGGTTAGTACAATACAATCAATTCATACAAGAACAAAAAAAGTATGAGTATTAGACTGAGACAAACTGCTGCTTCTCGAAGAAAGAAACACAGAATCACAGAATCACTTTTTTATCTCTATTTCATCCTAAGTACGTAGGAATCACACTGACAGGAGAAATCTGAACCATAGAGAGTGTTATATTTTGACACTTCAATTAAAAAAAAAAAGAGTGAAAGACCCACAAAACTAATATAATGCTCAAAAATGGAAATTAGGACAGCCCACCAAATTACACATAGTTAAGTCAACAAATCAGATTATATCAAGGAAATTAAACTCAGATATGGAATTTAATAATTAATTGTCATAATGCAATTTAGGTCACTAAGTACATTTTTAAAGAAAATGTTCTTTTTAAGTAGTTGTAAAGGTAGACTACAAATTATTCTGCAAATTCTAAATTAATCCACTTTATTTTTGCTGACATTTGACATAAACTAGTTTTTAAAATTAGTATCATGCAGTATTAACAAAGAATACTAAATGGATTAAGAACCACCAATTGGCAGATGTGAACAGTAAGTTCTTAACTGGGACTTAAACATATTGTACTGGTTTTGGCTGGGATAGAGTTAATTTTCTTCATAGTAGCTCAATATGGTGCCGTGCCTTGGATTTGTGACCAAAACAGTGTTGATAACAGACTGAACAGTGCTTACGCAGCATCAAAGCCAGGAGGCTGGGGGTGCATGAGAAGATGGAGGGGACCCAGCCAGGACAGCTGACCCCAACTGACCAAAGGGGTATCCCAGACCTTACAATGTCCTGCTCAGCTTATAAAGCTGGGGGAAGAAGGAGGAAGGGGGGTGAGTGGTGGTGGCATTTGGAGTGATGGAGTGTGTCTTCCCAAGTAACCATTACACGTGATGGAGCCCTGCTTTCCTGGAGATGGCTGAACCCCTGCCTGCCAGTGGGAAGCCATGAATGAATTCCTTGTTTTGCTTTGCTTGCACTCATGCGGCTTTTGCTTTCACTATTACACTGTCTTTATCTCAACCCGTGAGTTTTCTCACTTTCACTCTTCTGATTCTCTCCCCCATCCTGCTGTGGCAGAGTGAGCGAGCGGCTGGGTGGGGCTGGGCTGCCATCCGGGGTTAAACCACAACACATTTACACTATTAAAGGCTTTACAGAGATGTCACTAGGACCAACGCTATTAAGTATTTTGAACAGTTGATTTAAAGGTAAAACTAATGACTATAAAAGGCATTTCTAAAGGACATGCAGACAGGATGATTGATAAATAAACAGTAGCACAGTTTGAACAGCTAGTATCCCAACCTATTTAAATAAAATTCTGTGAACAAAAATTCAAGGCAAACCAAGAGCACAAAGGCAGTGTAACTTGGAAAGCACTGACTCTGTGAGATCTACAGGTTTGTGATACACAGGCATCTGATCTAAATCAGTGATTCCTTGGGAGATGAGATCAGAAATTAGGCATTATTTTGAGCTATCGTAGTAAATCACACAGGGAAATAGCTAAAGAAATTACTTCTCAGTGCATGGGTTTGGGTTTTTTTGTGGTTTGTTTTTTTTTTTAATATTTTACAAAGTACACTAAAATCCCCCAAATTACCTTTTAAACCAATAAGGACTCATTAGTCAACTCATAAGATTTCAAACTAAAATGCAAGTTCTATTGGCAGTATATGTCATATGAAATTCTTAAAACAACATAATTAACAAAACACATAATCTTATAGAACCTTCATCCTGCTATAGTACATCTTGTTGTCTGTCAGACTAACCAGAAACATACTAATACTACAAGAATTATAACAGACCTTTGAAATATGGCATTAATGTCAAATCAGCTACCAACATAAGCAAAATGCGCCTAATACTGTCTTATCTTTACCACTGGAGTAATACAAAAATTCTTCCTGCTGTGCCCCTTCCCCCTCCCATGTTCTTTTTTCCTTCCTAATGCAAAGCAAGAAGAAACACATGACGGGCTTTGGTTAAGACTAGCTAATTAGCTTAGGATTTTTGGCGCTTAGTGTGTACTGGAATACCACTGGATTTTACAGAAATGAGAACAATCTAAATCGTTGATCCAACAACTAATAATTAAAGACACTTCAACAGCACTGAAAAAAAAGTTATTAGTAAAGCCTGTAATGAAAGTACAAAAGGTCTATGCATTCTGGATGATGACAGAGGTTTGTTGTGAAGGCGTGATCATAATACATATAGCTTTTACACAGTGAAGTACATATCCCAGATAATACGCTTTTTTTACATATGCAAAGCACTTGGTACAGATAAATGGAACCTGCCCAGCATAGCAGGGTATCACTAGGCACACTCAGTGTGGAAACTGAAGTAGGAGTCTGCTCAAAGGATATGCTATCTAGCAATACTACATAAAGTATGGAGCCCTTAGTTTGAATTTTAAACATGCTCAGAAGTGCTTTACAGGTTAAATTAAATGTGGAGGAAACATAGCTGGAACAAGCATCAAAATGGCTGAGGACCCAAGAAGTGCATTTCATTGATCCTTATCTAGGTTTTTGTATTTCTGATTTACTTCACTGAGCTGCTGAATAATTGCAGACACTTAACTAAAAAATTTCAGATGCAAAGCAATAAAATCAGTCCAGAATTAATCCCAACTGGGTCAGAGAGAGAGCTTTACAACTGGTACAGTGTAGATTTCTTTGTAATTGTCCTTTATTGCAGGGATACTTTGTAAATTAAAGGGGAGCGCTGCAGTTCTCCAAAGCCAGCAGAGCTGTATATTCTGCACTCTGTAGTACACCTTAGCACTGCCTTCAAGATACTTCAGACACTAACCAGGTTTCTGGCAAAACATGAAGCCTACTGTACACATACAGAATAGGGCAACGGTCAAAGGCAATTGAAAAAGTCAAGGCATGAATTTTACACAAAAATGTGGCCAAAGTATCATAATGCAGCACACTGCCTAGAAAGCTGTACGCACTGAGACACAACCGCTGTTACTACGACAAGGTGCAGATAACGTCTAGAAATAAGATACGAAATTTAAAACAGTAAATTGCTGGAAGGGATCCCAAGACTAAAATATGTTTTTTGTCCTTCTTTCTGAAGTCCAGTTGTTATTATTACAGAACAACTACAGCCAAGATTTCTCCCTTAAACATGTTCTGTGCCACATATCCTTAAAAAAAAAATCCCCAAACCTCTGACCATCACATTAATAAGTAACACGGCCTTCCTGTCTGTAAAGCTGATCAAATTCCTTCCTTCACAGTTAATTCACATAAGATAAAAATGAAAAGTGTAAGGTCTTTGCTAAATACTGACTGTGAGATTTATAGCTTATGCTTGCCTCCTCAGATGCTTAAAAGCATTATTAACTCCTATTTGTTCAAAAATGCTTTTCCTGGTTGCACACCCTTCAGCACAGATTTTTCCAAAGTGCATTCAACACTTTAGAAAATACACCAAGACGTATTCCTGTCAAAACTGTGACCATGCTAACACTTGCTGTGGCCACAGAGATAACCCGTGGCTTTCCAGTATCTATTACTCTTCACAGAAAAGAAGCTTCTCTCTGAGGTTGCTTCCCCCGCTTTCTTTATATACAATATCTGACAGAAGCAATACGCCAAGAACAAATAAAGGTATTCCCCAGTAAACTGACACTGTACCTTTAGTATTTCAGTAGAAATACTTGCTCACGTTAGTTTTAAAATATGCAATTTTTTTCCTGATGTACCAAAACAGAAAAACATGGATTTGCAAACACTTCCATAAGTAAATGACAGCAACTATTCATTGCATTTTTATGAAAAAGATGCAGCGTATGTAGTAAACATCAGTCTGGGAAAAGAAAAAGGGCAAAATTTTTACAATGAGATGTGCCACAGCTCTTTCATCCAATACGAACAATGTTAGTATGCTTTATAAGGTAACACCTATTAAAAATGAAAGAATGCAACTGTAGTTTATGACTGAGCTAAGGGGACATTTTTGTTGGTTTTGTAAATATAAACTGAGTTGGGTAAATCAAAGGGTGTGGAACTAACAGAAAGGAGAAAAAAACTACAGAGGCAGAAAGCAGTAACCCACCTTTTGAAAAGAATAAAGTGATAATAAAAATTAGAAAAACAACACTTAAAAAAGTCTCCAAAAGATGCCTAGTAAGTATTAGTTAGAAACTGTCCTGTTTTATTGATTAGAGCAGAAGTAAAAGCAGTCTAAATCAAGAACAGAAAACATGCAAGTATTTACCTGCTTTGAGCATGGCACATTGCTGTTATTTTTTTCCATGAGGGACCATTTCAAAATATTTGGCAAGGTTGGTGATTTCCACGTTGGCCACGGGTTGACAAATTTCCCGTCTTTGCCTCTCTTTGATTTAGTTACATCCTCTTCTAATCTGTAGTCCAGCCTGAAGCTTTTCCTGGAGGTCCTGGAAGAATCGCTGCCCCTGGAACCTCGACCCGAATTCTGACGTTTCCTCACCGCTTCTTTAGGGTACTGGTTACACGCATTCAAGGGCTGCTCTTCACCCATTTTCTTATCCATATCTTTTTGAGGAGAACTAAAATAAATTTTAAATTAATCAATCTCTTCTTGGACTAACATCAACATTCATAAGATTGAATGGTCTCACACACATTAGAATCAAGCCTGCCCTTCTTATTTTATGATCTACTGGATTTTTTCCTCAACAAAATATGCTTTTAAAACAGTTTCTATTACACAAAAGACTTCAAAAACATGCTGTGGCAAGTAGACATGAGATCTCTTTGTAGTTCAGGCAGAATTTTACTCCCGGGTATGCAGAGCTTCAGATACTAACACTATTATCTACCAACTGCAAGAGTGAGGGGGAAGGGTTCCTTAATTTACGTTTTGGAATAATAGTAAGTTCCTCCTGAAACTTAGGACGTTCAGTGCTTGATTTAGCACATTCCTGCAAACCCATCCAAGAGACACTGCAACTATACAGTACCTTCAGATTTTCCTATATAGTAACTTTGTTTTGTAGTAAGAGCAGCAGCCTCACGTAGCAGCAATAACACATTACTTCTACCAACAAGATAAGATGTATGTACACGCAGAGCAGTCAGAACACAAAAGACGTTTGGACCTATTTCCTATTCTGTCCAAAAGGAAGGAAAAGCTTATTGTAACTATTTTAAACACAATTTTGATACAGTTGTAACTGAACTGACTAGGGAAAGGCCACAGAAGATTGGAATACCACAAAATAACTCAGACAAGCTTATTTCTGTAAAGCCACAATTCCGGCACATGACTTAGAAAACTGCGAGCTCAGTAGTCAGTCTCCTATTCCAAACTGCACTCCAGCGTTGCAGAGTTTAGGAATATGGAGTCCTATTGATCTCATTATATCCAAGGTAGAAATAAACAAATAACCCTATTTTATTTTAAAAATTGCTGAAGCAATTCAGTTGAAGCTAAATGCTTCGACATTTCAGTTGAAAGTAAATACGCTACTCTGACAGTTTTTAAAAAAAATAGGTTGCCATTTTAAAAAGTGCACAACTTTCTGGTACTTACAAGCTCTACCTGATAAAAATTAGAAGATGACCAGTAATGAAGAGACAGCATGATACACTGCTTAGGCGCAGGAATAACGGTAAATGACAAATTATGAAGTTTGTCCTGTGGAAAACTCTCCCCCACATGTTTTAGACTATTTCATTAACTCAGATACTCAAACTTTAGCTGTATACTCATATGAGAAGCACTGGGCTGATGTACCAAAGCCAGGTCACTCAAACAACATTTTCAGAGAACATAATTAAAGTCCATAGTTTTCTTAGAAATTACTTCCTAAATGAGATCTTTTTCTAAGTAGCTGGATATCCATAACTCACTGTGCCCCTCCCTAAGTTCATATTACAGGAAAAAAAAAAATATATTGTCACTGCAACATTACAGCTAAGATTTTACACACTTATAAGTGCTATCAAATTGAACCCAAATGCATTTACTGGGGATAATCTAATTTAAAATGCAGAGCCTGTCCTTGCTATTCCAGCAGCAACTTACTAAACAGAAAGTATGGTGGCAGTTGCAAACACATGGCACTTGATAAATACTGTGAAATTTTATTAACAAAATAACCATTATTTTGCCATACAGTAGAGATAAAACATTAACATCTCAAAATTCACTTCTAATAAAGAAGCATGAACAACATTCAGAAAACACTGCTGATACCATTTTTTGCTAAGTAGTACCATTGGTCATAATCTTGTTTTAATGTAATTGCTTTGTACTCTAGTTTCCCTGTAGTTTTACTGAAACCACTCCATTTATGTATTTTCTATTTAGCAATAATACACGACATCTGCATTATAATTTTAATTTAACTGTTGATACTCCTAGGCTTTTTTCCTCTGTCCCACTAAACATTTACTGGAATCAGCCTTCAATGGAACAGCCACCCAACTTGCTCTAGACCAATAAGCAGATATCAATGGTAACAAAAATCATCAGTGCCATGAAAAGGCAGACAGAATATCCCCAAAACTGTAGTGGACATTTTAACTGTTACTTTAATCTAAGAGGGTGGGGGGGTGGGGGTGGGATTCCTCAATGAGCATTTTCAATGCCAAGTCAGCTTATTAATTTAGCAAAGCACGCAGACACAGCATAAAACATCTACTCTTCTAGAAAGCATCATGAAAACAAATCACAAAAGTTTAATCAGATAGGTACTTAATTCAAGGAAATTCTTCTGTTAACATCTCAGATGTCTGATTTTTAAATATATATAACTCCTGTAATTATTGTTCCTACAAGACATCTTATATGAGAGACTGGAGTGCCTAAGGTTTTATTTTTAAGCTTCTGTTTATCTATTCATTCATCTCTAAAATAGATGAATTCTACTTCTGCTTAAATTTTCATATAAACCTTTGATCTTATGCTGAAAGTATAAACCTCTAGGGGAAGTAGGGATCAGCTATGCTGATTACACAAAGACAATGCCAAAGCATTTAAGGCACTGCAGGTATCTGTCTGCCAACATATTTTCCACATGATGCACATACATGGCTTTCATTAGTATTCCATAAGCAACTGAAGGGATGAAAGACCTCAGAGCTCACAGAATACTTTAAACCCTTTTACATGCATAAGAAAGGGACACATTTACAAACAATTAACTGAGGAAGTATTCCTGAGGAACTGTAGATTCCTTTGAAGTATCAATCTTGCAAGTTCATTTCTGTTTCCTTTAAACTGGTAAAAATATATCCTAGAATATTCATGGAATACAGTAGAAGAAATCTAATTTTCTTATTTAAAAATGGTAGATGATAATTTCTTGAAAGCCAGCAATCATTAGCTTAAAATAAACTCAACCAGTTATTAGTCCAAGGAGATTCTTACCCTTTTGCAAAAGAAAGCCTCTACAGACAAGGAGATTTGGCAGGTATATTTTAAATATTAGAAAACATCCAATCAGAAATGAGCTGATTTTTCATCCAGCTTTCCTGAATTCTTCCCCAAGAAAATAATTGTTTGATGCTTGAGAAATAAATTTAAACATTGGATTGCCAGCCAAATTATGAGCGACAGAGACACCAAAATGAAACTGGAGTAGGGTTCACTCAGGAGGGGTAGGGGGAATGGGTTATGTCCTCGGTGAGTATTTGTTATTGCAAGGTTCCACAAGAAATCTTCCATTTTCCACACTTTTAAACAAAGAGGAAAACTACTCTTCTACTTAAAAGCATTCAACTGCTTTCTTAATAAATGGAACCCATCCTTTGGGATGAGGTGACTTACCCCCAAACAAGGCCAAGTGGGTTGCCACCACTTGTAAGAGGGGCTCAGGCAAGACTCAACGCAACCACCCTCTTGGTGCTCAGAGGTGCTTTACCGTTTCAACTGAAAATTCAGAAAAGGAAATGGACCAAGACATACAAACTACTGAAGGAGACCATTAGTCATGCCAAATGCACGAGGCCAGAAGGTACTCTAGACAGAGGGGGAGAATGCCACTGGGTGATGAATGGGATGAAGCCCAACATGAATCAAAACGCAGAGCTCACATAACTGGTTTTCCAGCATCAAATACTAAGAGAGCCCTAATAATCCACAAGGCAAGAGAGAAGTTGTAGGTAAGGCAGGACATGGCATGGAAACCCCGTGTCTTACGTCAACGGTAAGCAGGCTTACACCTGTAAACAGGATACAGCCCTTCGGACAACAGGTTTGTGGTCAATTGTTTATTTTAGCATTGCTTATATAACTGAAAACTTGGATACAAACATTTTTGCTTTGAGGCTTCTGTTTATTTAGGAAAATAATTAAAAGTTTAGTTAAACATTTTAACGCTTTCTCTTTCTGTTCTGAAATAAGGTTGGAAACAGGATACATTAACGTTACAAGAAGCACTCTGACATTTTTACTTTTAAATGGTCTTTTAACCACAGCAGGGCTTCAAGCCAAATTATTTTAACTATATTTGAAGAAATGCATCAACATAAAATCTATTGTGAGTCTTCACCATTTCCACCCAGTCGCCTCTAACATCCACCACTCCATAACTGAAAAAGATGTAGCTCCCCCTACTAAGCATACAGTGATGCTACTAACAGTGAAGTATGCCAGAACAGATTTTGCCTTTTCTACACAGAAATGTGGTCCTTATTTAACAAATTCATAAGCCAGAAACTTTAAGAAAGAGTTACTATGAACCTATAGTTTACTGGAACCCAAACAACATCCACAAAAAGTCACACTTACCTTGCAAATATTTCATAGCTTTCCAAATATCCTTAATTTTCTCTATTTTTGAAGCAATGAGTTTGGTTCATTTCTAATTGCTGTCTCTCTGTATAGACTACATCCAGAACTGGGCTGCACTACACATCACCTAAAAGGGAGAGCATACAATTCCTAGCAAACTCATTTGATTTGTGCTTCATCATGCCACTGTAGCCTTATCAAAGCAAGAATCTGAGCTTTCTGCAGCACATGTACTGCTACACAACTTGGAAGTTTTCTTTCAACATACGTATTTTTTAAGACTGCAAAAAGCACACTTTTTGGCTTGAAACTAAAAAAAAAAAAAAAATCAGCTAAAAGGTAAGGTATTTGCAAACACTAGGGAGCACACACATACTTTTTTGAAAAAAAGTCTCCTGCCTGCTCAACTATCAAACGACTGCCAGCTAAGTTTGGCTGTGTTTTTATTTTTCCTTCAGGTCTGAAATTGTCTGCTTTAATTAATGAACAGTTTGAGACTGGAAAATTCTGAATGCATTTAAACTTTTATTGTGCAGTACTTGAGGCTGTTCATCATACCACTGTAGCCTTATCAAAGCAAGAACCTGAGCTTTCTACAAACCATATACTGCTACACAACTCGGAATTTTTCTTTCACTATACATATTTTTTTATGACTCCAACAGCAATTATTCCAGATACTCTTGGTCTTAGGATTTCACACAAAGATGATGTCTCAAGCTTGCAACTAGCTGACCTATGAATACTTTTATTATTTAAGATTTCGCATTAAAAGTTGCAAGAAAGAACAAGCAGTGCAGAAATTTTCATTCAAATTGATATTTTAACAGCCAGCTGGGGATTCTGTGTGATGTCCTGTTTCCATATTTTCCAAACATCCACAACACAAAAAATCCATGCTAGTACAGCCTTCTTCCATTCTTGGATACACCCATTTCATAGCACAGCTATAGGTTGCCAGCCCAGTTCTTCTATGTTCTCAACAGATCTGTAAGTATCATCTCTTGTGTACTGTTAAAGAAAGATGAAGAACTGAGTTGACAAGAGAAACAGAAATAGCTTTCTCCATAAACAACCTCATAGAATTATGATGAATCCTTTGCCATTCTTATCTAGTTTGAGGATCAGCAGTAAAACAAAGCAAAGTTTTATTTAGACATTACAGAGAAAACAATTTTAGTTACAAATAAAACAAATGTGAAGCATCTACCCATAGTCATCTGTTGTTAGGCATATTCTTACAACAGCTGTATTACTTAGGCAGCCATCGCCATAAGCCATCCCATTTCTGCCCTCATTGTTCCCCCATGCTTGCCAAAACAAACATTTGTGTCCACATGATGAATTAGTTCAACAAACTGATCTAGCCGATAGTCACTTCTTACCTTCCCATCCCCTAGAGAAGTACTTATTTTTCACCTGCACCACTGGGTAACCATGCAAGTGTTTATACCAACAAACTGCCTAGGACAGGGAAGGGTGAGAACAGGAATATACTGCTGTAAACAAGCTGCTTATGCCAGTGTTGCTAGAGAAAAAGTAATTTATTAAATACCCTCCATTTAGAATTCCCTCAGTGTAGCTCAGTTACATACACCACCAAGTTAGGTTCAGCAATTCCCACTACCTCTAAAATACTTCATTTTCAATCTATTCCCCATCCAAGATTTCACATTTAGTACTGATGCTGCTTAAACTCTCTGCCTGCCTATTCCAAGATTTCATATTCTAACCAAGCAAATTCAATAGCTACCTACCACCCAAAAGGCAGCCCACTGCAGCCGGCTCCCGTTACTACATATTCTGACCTCTACTTTCCTAGTATTCATTAGAGGAACTAAACCAACAGAAAGTTATTCATGGTCACTACCAGTGCTTATCAGCTACACCTTCGTATGCCTCCAGATACAGATGCAAATAGGCTTTAGAGTCAGGTCCGTCAGTAGTACCTGGAGCCAGCTATTTCTCAACCCTGAGTTAAATCTGATCAGCCACGGGCATTGCATCAACTGCATGAAGACGCCTCTTCCTGGAACTGGGATGATACATAACTATTTTCCCCTTGTTTCCACGGACCCCAGCTGACTGTCCTTGTCCAATATGAGCACTTTGTAGTCCCCAAACGTGTTTATGAATTGTACTTAATACTACAGAAGTTTTCTGTTACACGCACATCTCATTTTGGTTATGATCCCCGATATGACAGTAGTTGTCCATAGGGGTCATGCATATTAGCAGAGATGACAGACCCAGTAGCCCATTTCTTTAGCTCTACAGGCCTATTAGAATAAGTTATTTCCCTCTCTACCCTCATCTTTTACTGCAGTCTTGAATAAAAGTATCCAAAAGTTGGCACGTGGCCATCACATTTAAAAGAGCAGCCTAGACTATCATTATGATAAAGCACAAGAGCAGTGTAATTCTGTGCTGTTGCTGAAGCAGTCATGCTCTCCCTAAACAACTAATTTCATATGACTACTTAATGTATAGGGAAGAATGTTGAAAACACAAAAGCTGGAATGGAAGTTTTCTTACCTGCTCTGCAGGACTCGGGCTGACAACAGACAGAAGCAAGGTTTGTGCATTACAGCTGTGTTATGTTACGCAAGACAGTAACTGGACCACAAATCAAATACAGACAGTTTTTAAAATCAACAGAGAAGATAGCACATGCACACAGCTGGGCAGATGAACTGTGGATTCCAACAGCAACAATAATCTCCATGGATGACCCTTCACACTTGTGAAGACTTTCAACAAAGCTTTTCCAAAAGAGCAAACACGAAACTTGTACCAACGCAGCTACAGGATCTGGACCCCAAGTTTAGTGTTCTGGCACCAGCTCTACTCCCGTAAGTATTTATGCAAACAAGTAGTTCATTAGTTTCAGTTGGTCTACTGATGTGACTGCAGTTAATGACAGAGCCAGACCTTTCCAGGATGGGCCTTACTGTTAGAAAAAACAACCAAACTTTACAGGTTAGAATTTACACACTTTAGCCACCCCTGTGCGTGAACAGCCTGTACATCTTGGGTTTAGTATTTTAAGTTATTACGTAATGTTGAAGCTGTTAGCACAGGTTTTTCTTAACTAAAATGAAGTTTTAAAATATTACAAGCTCGCACTCTGTCCTGAGGGTAAAGGTTTCCCATCTGACTTGTCAATTAGATATGACTAAAAATAAATACTACTGCACATAATGAAACTAAGGCTCCACTTGAACATACTATGGTAGAAATCCAATTTCCTTTGTAGCACATGGCCATAGAGGCAAAGTAAGAACTGTTTCCATAAAATGGATAGAAATCATGTTAAAACCTTGATCCATAGGATCCATGTGGCAAAGCCGGATCTGAAGCAGTTCATTTATCATCAACTCTGGCACTTTTATGTCTGCAACTGCGCAATTGCTATCTCCACTAAGCCTTTACTAAGCCTTTTAATTTTCTTCTTCCTTTTCTCTCCATGCCAGAAAGATACAAACTCCTATGCAAACTTCCTCTAGACTCACACTGAGAATAATCCTTTAAAACCCTATAAACCCCGAGTTGTCCAGGAAGTGCAGCAACGCCCAAGCACTGAACTAGTTTTTATTTTGAAGTTACTAGACAGTCATTATTTATATACATATTTAAATGCTTGCCTATTTCATTCCCTCTCTTCAGTTCAAAGTCCAAGCGCACAAGACCCAATGTTATTTCTCTGCAATAAACATTTCCCTAAATTCTTTCTAAATCTACTTAGATTTCAACATAAGCTCAACTTTTGCTTGTCCCAACAACATCCTCTCTCTCCCTGTCTGCATATGCATACACCCCATAGACATATGGATTTTACAGAACTATTTATAACATTTGACCTCAAATGTACTGAAAACCCAACAAATCATTTCCAGATCAGTTAAGATAAGGAAAATGGAAGTTTTTCTTTGTTGAAAAAATGTGTTTTTCTTGAATGCAACTGTTCAAAGACCATCTTTCACATGAGTTGAACTAGAAGGTTATCAGCCTTTCCAAATATAGAAGTTTTGAATCTCCAGAACTTCATACAAGAAAGCCAGGAAGCACATGTGATACAGCACCCTGACGGTTCTTTAACTGAAACACAGTCATTAAAAGAAATTACAAATGGTAGAACACCAGACACAGCAAGACACAAATACCCAAGGAAACTGGAAACATCACAACACATTAACATTTTTCATGACAACTCCTTTTCCTACATATAACCAGCCTTCTACTCTATCCCCACAACTCTAGATTATGAAGTCTCTTCATGTACTCTAAATGAAATGCAAAGTGCTTTGGTTGTTAGTCAACAACAAAAGTGTTAATATAAAAAGTTGTTTGGTTTGTTTGGTTTTTTCTTCTGGAAGAGTCAAGGCACATTTCCAACGCGACTGTGAACCATCCAGTAATTTTTGAGGCACCATCCTAAACATGTAGGTGTTTTAAGGAGACAAAGTGTTTAATTTAAACACACCTAAATAGACACACATAAACAACTTGTTATTTCCACAATCTTATTCTCAGAAACAGCTGAACCTTACCGAAACCCTCTCTCAAAAACCAGTTCACAGCATGGGAGACTTCCACCTAAACAACTGAAACTATTTCCAAATAGTATAAGCAATAAAAACTGAAACCTTATCGTAAGCCTTACTCAGCAGACAGTAGCACTACCAGCTCCAACCACGGTAACAGGTCTTACACAAGAAAAATCTGTTGATATACATCTTGATATACATTCCTTACCACTTGACTTTTCACTCACACAACATGTAATCAAACCTTGTTTTTCACAGTAGGGACAGAACGGCAGCAAAATGTTTTCATAGTGTCACTTGGTAATGCCCAGTTTATCTGCTTGGGCACAGGTGTATGCTATTCAAACCCATATCATCCCTTCTTTATACAGCTGCTAAATACTAAGATATTACATGCAAACAGTAAATAACATGTAACTTCTTCCCTAGATTTTCTAAGGATATTCAAACCAAGTGCAACACCTGGTTCAGAGAAAAATCCTTTTTACTCAAAGCTGCATTTAGACACAAATGACCAAGTGATTTACCATGGTGCTGGCTCAGAGCATATTAGAAGTAGAACCATGATTACAGTGCTAGCCAGCACACTGTGAGCTACACACTTGCAGCAATTGAGTGAACAAAAAATAAAGTGAGATCAGGAAGGGATTTATAGATGAGACCAAAGGAAAAAAAAATTTCACAGCAGGTATTATATATAGAGGCACTAATTAATATGGCAACATTTCCATTTTTCTCA